TGCCAGGCCCTCTGCTAAAGCTGGGAGGTTGAGTACCCTGGGCCTAGCTAATTAATAGCCCCAGCTCAAAACCTAACTCAGCCCCTTATATTGGCCGGGGAGGACAACACAACTTAATTCCTTTGGATGACAGGATTTAAAGCAGGAAAGGGTTTTAAAGATCAACTATCTAATCCAGCCTCTCATTTTATGGATGAGAAAGCCAGTGGAATAAAAGTGACTTACCTAAGGTCTTATAGGTAATTTACTTAAGGTCCCATAAGTAAGCATCTGCATGGAAATCCACTAGCTAGGCCCAGATCAGATTTGAAGTCAATCCTTCTTAGACTCGAGACAAAGAAAAAAGCCTGGGACGTAAGATGTTTGGAGCCCCACCTACTGCAAAATCACCCAAGGCAACACTTAAACTCCAGACCAAAGTCTAAACACTCAAATTTATCAATGGGTGAACTGGTAGGAGGGAGGGAGGGGAGGAAATTCTCATTTATTGAGCACCTACTAAGAGCCAGGCATGTGCTAAGCACTTCATAAGTAGTCTCATTTTACCATTAAGGAAATTGAGGCAGACAGAGGTTAAGTGATTTGCCCAGGGTCACAGAGCTAAGGCATGTCTGAGGTTGAATTTGAACTCAGGTCTTTCAGACTCTAGGCCCTCTGCTCTACCTAAAGAGTCACCTAGCTGCTAAAGATGATGCAAGGGAATAAAACTAAGGCCTCTGGATGTCCAGCATCCTCTTCAAGGTCACATAAAAAGTGGAAGTCTGATTTATCATTGGCTGTGACTGTTCAAGCAGTCTTTGATGCCAAACCCAAGATCCGAGAAGAAGGAAGGAGATGGGAAGTTCTGTACATTGTCCTGGGGAGTGGCACGGAGGGACCACCAGCCAAGTGAATAAGACTTCACCTGAGATCAGACACTCACACACATCCTGGGCACCTTCGTTGAAGAAACCACAGGTACCAAGCCAAGATAACGAGGAAAGAGGAAAATAAGATTACAGAGAGAAATGAGGAAAGGCTGGCTAGTTACTTGGTGCTGTTGTTCAGTCGTGTCTGACTCTTCCTGACCCCATTTGGGGTTTTCTTGACAAAGATATTGCTGTGGTTTGCCATCTCCATCTCTTTTTACAGGTGAGGCAATGGTGACAAACAGAGCTAAGTGACTTGCCCAGGGTCACACAGCTTGAAAGTGTCTGAGGCTGGATTTTGAACTCAGGAAGACGAGTCTTTTTGACTCCACACCTGGAACTCTATTCACTGCACCACCTAGCTGCCCCTACTTACGTGGTGAGTGGAGCCTAAAGCTATGAACCAGATCTGGGGATGAGGATGGGGGGGAGGGAGGTCTAAACCCCACTTGGAGCACAGATTCTGGACAATTTTCTTTAAAGGGGGGGGCAGAATACACAAGTCTTTCAGGCCCCAGTTCAGTGGCACAGGGCCAATCAGCTAAAGAAACAGCAGAAGCACAGAACTCCCATCAGCCACTTCTGCAATGCCCCAGCAAAGACAACCCCAAGTATTAAGTGCCCTGGGAAATTTTCCCTAACTCAGTCTTTCAAGGATAAAAGTATGACCACCTCCTCCTCAATCCCTTTGGATAGATCTGTCGTGAAGTTCAAACAAGATAACGAATATAAAAGCACTTTGAAAGATAAAGTAACATAAAATTATAAATTATTAGTGGTACAATTGTCCAGATTGAACCAGACTCCAATCTACCTTGGCCTGGACCTGGGACACTGAAATGACTCTACCTCCAAGCTAGAACTATAGTATTATTTTCCTAACGAGCAAAGGGGCTCTGTGACTTTTGGCAGATTAATCAGAGAATCATAAAGAGAATCATAAAATCTCAAGAGCTGGAAAGGACCTCAAGGGATCATATATTCCCACCCCTCCATTTTATAAAGAAGAAAACTGCCAAAGGGAAGTGACTTTCCCAAGGTCTCAGAACTAGTTAAGAGAGTAGGATTAAAACCACCTCTAGTCTCCCCTTTCACTTCACTTTCTTTAAAGAAATCTAGTTCCCTCATGTGAAAAATGGGAGGGTTTGAACTAGATTAGCTCTATCTAGGGTCCCATCCAACATGTAGAACTAAAATAAAACAATCCCTCGAGTCAGAGCTCTAGGGCACCTAGGGTAGTAGGCAGGAGTCCCACTCAAAGAAGTTCTAAAGGGTGCAAGAGAGACTGCCCTGCCTTGCCCAGCCCCACTCAGGGCCACCACAGCTGCTGGAGAAAAAGATAAAGCAGAGACAGTCAAGTTTCCAAGGGAGGGGGAAGTGACTAGGCAGCCAGCCAACCACAGAGAACAGAATTGGGGAGGCAAAAGTTGACACCAAAGGGGCTAGGGCACAAGAAACTTCACCCATTTCTTCTAAGGTGCTCTTTCTGCAAAGATCCTTAACCACCACCATGGTTCTGAGTTAGGAGGGAATTTAAAGGTAACCTAGCTTAACTCCACCCCTCAATTTTACAGATGAAGAAGCTGAGGCCTAGAAGTTAAAATCAAGTAAATGTAAATAAAAGTGCTTTTCAGACTTTAAAGTGTTATATAAATATCAGTTGCCGTATTGTCCTTGCCCAAGGTCACACAGGGAAGGAAGAGAGGCTGACAAGGTGGAGGGGAGGGAAGAGGATAATCAAACCCCAGGCATTGTAAACAAAGTCCTGAGGATTCAGTTGGGTGACTGACCTCACTGGAGCCTAGGACAAGCAGGGGAAGCTGGGACCAGCAGGAGATTAGGATACATACAGGCTGGGTCACCACAGGGCAAGTAAAGAAGGAAAGAAGTAGTAATCTAGGAGCATCCCTAGCCTTGGGCTTCCTAGTGGATAGTCTGGCCAACCTGGGGTCATGAGGACCTGAGTTCTGATTCCACCTCAGGCATTTACTGGGAAAGCTAGGTGGCACAGTGGATAGAGCACTGGGCTTGGAATCAGGAAGCCTCATCTTCATGAGTTCCAATCCAGCCTCAGACACTTTGTAGCTGTGTGACCATGACCAAGTCACTTAACCCTGTTTGCCTCAGTTCCTCACCCGTAAAATGAGCCGAAGAAGGAAATGTCAAACTACTCCAGTACCTCTTACGTTGGACACACTGAAATGACTCAACGACCACAAGCTCTTACTAACAGTACCTAACCTCACAGGGTAGTCAGGATCAAATGAGGTCACAAATGTGAAGCCCTTGGCAAACCTTAAAACCCTACATAAATGATCAGCATCATCATCATTATTATTCACACCTCTGATGAAAAAAGCAGGCCCAAAGGACCCTCCACTGTCAGGAACAAGGTCTTAAAGTATATAGTGTAGAGGGCAGGTCATCTCAGCTTTGGAACTAGGAGTAGAATGGGAGGCGAATGGGAGAGGAGGGGAGAAAGGCTTGTCAGTCACTGACCCTGGTATCCACAGGGTGAAGGGTGCCCCCTCACCTTCATAGTGGATAAATGACTCTAAGTCACTCAGTCTTTACACTGAAACATCCCTACACTGCTTTTCTTACCTCAGACCAGCCTGGTCAAAGCCCTATGACTTTCCTCCCCCCACCTCACACTGTTTTCCCTTCCACTAGCAACTTTCAGTACTTGGGTCAGAAACAACTCCTGAGACCTGGCCATTCCCGACCCTTCTTATCAAAAGTCCACGATGACTTCAGGGGATATCATGCATCTCAAGACCTCCCTTCACACCGCCAGCTCTGGAGATGGGCTGTGAAGTCTACTCCAAGAATGGACCTGGCAACAGCGCTTGGAACCAGTATCTCCAGGCCCCCAAGGACCTGCTTATTTCACTTATACTGTGGTGCTGGGCAAGAGATTCAAAGACTAACCTCCTGCACAGCCTCCCACAGACTGGATCATTATATGTATATTTCCAGGAAACAAGAACTTCTGGGTTTCTGCCCAAAATGACAGCAGGGATGCCCTGGGCTCCAAGTCCATCACGGGGCAACAGCTGCTGCCAGGATTGAGGGTGTGGGAGACAATGTCACAGACGGATGTCACTATTTAGATCCAAAAGGGGGTAGCCTTGATCTGTCCCACAGCTCTCAGACCCACTGAGAAAAGAACCCATTTAAGGCCACCAAGAATCAACCTAGCTGGTGATCTCTTTAGTATGAAAGAGACAACTTCAGACCTTAAGGATAGAGTTCTGGGCCCAGACTTCAACGTTCTACTGAAACCAGAATTTTGCTGGGTTGTTTTTTTTTTTTTTTGAGCGGGGGAGAGTAAGAGGACACTCAGCCTCAGGACCTCCCTTCCCGAAAGTCCTGCTAGTTCTGGCACCATCAGTAAACCCTGCGGAGGGGAACACCAGGCTCCTGCAAATACTATCTATCCCGAAGAGGTCCCTGAGTCTTGACCATGGGTGGCCATGAGGCACGATCACCATTCCCCTTCCCGCTCTCAGGTCCAAAATGCAGGTCAAATCCAGACTTTTAGGGCACACGGCAGAGCCTTAACTTAAAGGGAGGGCAGAAGAGCCCAAAACACAGGAGTGAAGGAGGAAGCAGCGGGCAGACATGTTGGCAGACCCGAGCCTCTGCCAGGGGGGACCCCTTGCCTACCCGGACGCCTAACTCGCCCAAAACCAGAGGGGGCGGGAAGCAGCCACTGGAGCAATGAAGCCACTGCTCGAACTCTGCCTCTGTTTGAACCCCGGGAGCCCGGGCATTCAGGGCGAGTGAGCGCGTGGGCACTGCCAACCCGATTCCGGGGATCCGGGGGATGCCCTCCATCCGGACCGAAGAAACTTTGTGCAGCCGGGCGGCGGCCGCCCCCTGCCGCGGACAGCCCTCCGCCGACCCCTGGGGAGTCCCGATGCAGAGCCGGGCCGCTGTGGGGCGTCCCTCCTCCCCCACGCCGCCTCCCAGCCTGCCCGAACCGCGGCCCCTGGCCCTAGGCCCCCGACCCCTCCCCCGGGGCCCCGAGGGTACCCCTCCGACCCCTCCCCTCCCGTGCCTTCCCCACCCCTCGGCCGCGGTACTCACCCTCTGGGCGGGGCGGACCCGGCGGCCGGACAGGTCAAGGCGGGGACGCCGCTCAGATCCGCTAGGCGCCGGGCGGCCCGGCGTGGAGGAGGCGGCGGCAGCGGCTCCGGGGCCCGGGACAGGCCCGGACCGCAGCTGGCCGGGGAAACTGGGAAAGTCCGCGCCGGAGGGTACCCGGGCGGGCGGCGGCGAGCGGGGAAGGGGCTGGCTCTGGGATGGACACGCTTGCGCACACGGCCCGGAGCTCAGCGAGGAGCGCGGGGGGGGGGGGGGGGGAGAAGAGGGAGAGGAAAGGGGGAGGAGAGAGGCTGAGGGGGAGGGGAGGGGAAGGGGAGAGAGAGGAGAGGGACAGGAGGTGAGGGAGGAAAGATGGGGAGGGGAAGGGGAGATGGGAGGGACAGGAGGTGAGGGAGGAAGGAGGGAGGGGGAGGGACAGGAGAGAGGCTGGGGTGGGGAGGGAAAGGAGAGGGACTGGAAGGAAGGAGAGGGAGGGAGAGAAAAGAGGGGAGGGGAAGGGATAGGGGGAAATATTGGGAGGGGAGGGAAGGAAGAAAGGGCATAGAAGGAAAAGGAGAAAGGTGAGAAAGAAGGAGGGAAGGGATTGGGGGATAGGATAGGAAGAGAAAGCATTGGGAGAAGAGGGAGATAGAGAAGAGGAGTAGAGGAAGAGAAGATGAAGAAGGGGAGGAGACAGTATAGGAAAAAGGAGAGAGGGAGGAAAGAGGGAGGAAAGGGAATAAAGGGAGAGGAGGGATCGAAGGGAAAGGGATAGGGAGAAAGGAGAGGAAGAGAAGAGAGGAGGGAGGAGAGAAGAAGGAAAGGGAGGGAAAAGGGTAAAGAACAGGGGTTGAGGGGAGGAAGAAAAGGAGAGAGGGAGTGGGGAGGGAAAGGGAAGGGGGGATAGGGATGAGAGGGAGGGGAGGTGGAAGGGAGGAGGAGATGTTACTGCCTCAGAGACTGGGAAGATCCCCCAGGCAGGGGATCCTCCTGTGCCAGGCTGCCTTGCAGACCTGTCAGGTAGGGGTCTTCACTGGCAGGGACATCCAGGGTGTGGAACTACTCAGACTTCTCCCTTTGGAAGGAACCAGGGGTTCCTCAGCCTGTGTCTGGAGGGGAGGGGAGAGTCTTAGAGGATCATCAGCCTCTTTCCCCACTGGGGAAACCAACTCACAGAGAAGGAGTTTGTTTCCCTATATCTCCCCACGATGCAGGGTGCCCAGGGCTGGAATATAAAGTCGCCTTCCCTCTTCTTTCTTTCCTCAGTCCTTAGCACAGTAATAGTAAATTCTTAATTAGAGTATGCTGAATTAAACTGAGCTGTGCATGAAGTTCCCTGACCAAATGTAGGTGCTTTTATGTTTTGTCTATTTTCAGGAAGGGGAGGAGGAGGGGAGAATAGGGAAAGAGTTCAGTGCCTTTAAAAAAAAACAAAAAACAAGGGCTGCAAGGGCCATAGCAGATTGGGTTCTCTGTAGCAAAAAGTTCAGCCCTGAGATGAGGAGGTTGAGGCTGCCAGGCCAGAGAGGAGGGCAGTTTCTTGGATAGCTCTGACAAGTTGGGGGAGGAGATTAAGAGATGATTAAAAGAGTGGTCTATTGGAGAGGGAAGACAGCTTGGAATAAGCTCTTTATCCCATGGAACTCCCCACACACATATGCACCCATTTCCTCCATTTTTCCCGAGCGTTTTCTACAAAAAGATAACTACTTTTCAGAATGAGTTTTAGGGCACAGCCAATGTGGGCTTTTTGTTTTGCTTGCAGTACATATTTGTTACCAAGATTGTTGTTCAGTTTGGTTTTTGTTTTCACAGGAGTAGGGAATGGAAGCAGGGGATATCAGAAAGAAGAGGATCGTCGAGGCATTTTCATTAATGCACACAAAAAAAACACTCACTAGCAGGACAATGTTGAAAGTTGCATGCTGAATATATTATATACTTAAAAAGGAAAAGCAAACTACCTAATAGAAATTTTCAGTTCTGTGTTCAGTCTTTTTTTCTATTCTACTTTATACAAGGATACATTCATGCTATTACTTTCAGAATCTTTTTAAAAAGTGAAATTGAAAATAAACCTAAAATCTTAAACTTCCTTCCCCTCCTGTACCCCTGTGCTAAGGTTTAGCCTCTGCAAAGCACCACCCTTTCTGGAAGCTATTCATCCTTTGGCAAGTTAACTTTCCTAGGCCTCAGTTCCCACAACCGTAGAATGAAATTTCACTAAATAAAAACTGGTTCCTGTCTTCTAGCTCTATGAAATCTATAACATCTAAACAATTTTTACATCCCCCACCAAGTTCCACACTTTTCTGATATCCCTTCCCCTTCCTGATACTCAGTGTTCCTTGCCTCTTCCAGACCTTCCCTTTTCGTCATTCAATAACCTCACTTGGGTTCATCTAAATCACACTAAGTCTATGGTCTCCAAAGTAGGGAAGTGGCTTCATCCACTTCATCCAAAGACTGGATGACCAGCTAATCTGAAGATAAGAAGTTATGTTCCCTTGATTGGCTATTATGGGGAGGGTTAGGATAGAACATAACTACAGCACTACCCTCATGCTCTAACACTCCCCCACAACCATTCTTCCCCTTTTCTCTGTTAGGCAAGCTCCTAAATTTCCAGCTTCTGAACCAGGATTGGCCCCCTCTGACAGTTGTAATTATGTATCTGCTACTTGGACACCCACAGAGGCAGTTCAGAGGCACAGTAGATAAGAGACCTGGGCCTGGAGTCAGGAAGGCACAAGTTCAAATGTGGCCTCAGACACTTCCTAGCTATGTGACTCTGGGTAAGTCAGTTAACCTCCATTTCCTCAACTGTAATATGGGGATAATAACAGCACCTACCTCCGAGGGTTATTATGATCAAAATACTTGTAAAGCATTTAGCACAGTGCCTAGCACATAGTAGGCAATATACAAATATCCAGTCCCTTCCCCTTTCCTGCCGTAGCTGCTTCAAAGGTGTCTATGAGGACATTCCTGCCCCTCCCGCTGTACATAATCACTTCCTTTTCACCAGATCCGTTGGTGGCTGAGATGATCCAATACCACCCCCATCACTGACAGGTGAATAAAATGTCCCTTCCCCCCACCCACCCACCCATTTTCATTTTGAGTAGGACTGAGTAAGTGATACAGGCATGAATGGATTGTAGTAGACATGGAAGATCTCATGACATCATCTCTCTCCCCAACGCCACCTCTCTTCCAAACTTCCTTATTATCAGCCAGGATAGCACCATCCTCCAAGGTTCACATCTCATTCTTCCTCACTCCCACATAGCCAACCCATTGCCAGATCTTATCAATTCTGCCTCCCATAATACCTCTCACTTCTTTTGTATTTGGTTTTTTTATTATGAATTTATTTTGATTTATCAACAATTACTTCCATAAGCTTTTGAGTTTTAAATTTTTCTCCCCCTCCCTCCTTACCTCCCTCCCCAAGACAGCTGGCAATCTGATATAGGCTATACATATACATTCCTATTAAACATATTTTCACATTATGATGTAGTAAGGAAAAATTAAGAACCAATAGGAGGAACCACCAGAAAGAGGAAACAAAACACAACAGAAGAAAAAAAAATAGCAAATAGTATGCTTCAGTCTGCATTCAAACGCCATAGTTCTTTCTTTGGATGTGGATAGCATTTTCCCTCATGAGGCTTTTGGAGATGTCTTAGATCCTTGTATTGCTGAAAAGGGTTAAGTCTATCAATATTAGTCATCTCACAACATGGCTGTCATAATGTATAACATTCTCCTGGTTCTGCTCACTTCACTCAGCATCAGACCATATGAATCTTTCCAGGTTTTTTCTCAAGTCTGCCTGCTCATCATTTCTTATAGCGCAATAGTATTCCATTACATTCATATATCACATTCATAGTTATGATTACTATTTGTGTCTTTCTCTCCATCCTTTCCCCCTCCTTCATGCTTTTCTTTTTCCTTTCTCCTTTTCCCTCCTCACTAGTGTTTTGCTTTTGAGCACCGCCTCCCTCAGTCCCACCTCCCTTCTATCAGCCCCCTCCCTTTTTTCCCCCTTACCCTTACTACTTCTTCCCTCCCTTCTATCACCCCTCCTTTTCTTTCCTCTTTTCCCTCCTACTGCCTATAGGGCAAGTTAGATTTCTATACCTAACTGATTATGTTATTCCCTTCTTGAGTCAAATCTGATAAGAGTAAGGTTCAAACAGTGCTCATCTCCCTCCCTTCTTTCCTTTGGCTGTAATAGGCTTTTGTGCCTTTTCCTGTAATGTAATTTACCCTTGTCTATCTCTTCCTTTCCTTTTCTCTCAGTACATTTTCTTAGTTAGATCAGATTAATCCATTTACTTGGATCCATTTAACCCACTTGATTAGATTTTTTTTATCATTGCATCTAAGTCAATTTATACCCACCCCCTTTACGTATATCCCTTTAACATGGTGTAATAACAACGCAGTTCTCAAGAGTTACAAGTGTCATCTTCCCTTGTAGGGATGTAAACGTCCTTTGCTCTTATTAATAACATGTTGTTTCTTTCTGTCCCGCTTACCTTTTTATGTTGCTCTTGAGTCTTGTTTTTGAAGATCAAATTTTCTGTTGAGCTCTGGTCTTTTTATCAGGGAGGTTTGGAAGTCCCTTACTTTGTTGAATATCCATCTCCTCTCCTGAAAGAACTGCTCATTTTTGCTGGGTAACACCTCTCACTTCTGTTCCCTTCTCCCTTCTCACAATCACCACACTAGTTCAGGCCCTCTTTCCCTCTTATTTGGATTACTGTGATAGCCTCCTTAGCCTTAGGACTCTCAAATCTAACCTTTACACAGCAGATAAAATGATTTTCCTAAAGGACACAGCTGACCATGGGAGTGGCCTAATCAGGAAACTCCAGTGACTCTTTCCATCTCTTCCAGTGCTTCTCCTAAACCCATTCTTTATTATTATTGTTGTTGTTGTTATTTTCCGCTAACAAGCATTGATTATCTCTCCCTACTCTCTCCACTGGGAAAAAAAAAATCCTTGTCTTGCATAGTCAAGCAAATCAAATTCCCACATTGGCCTCATCCACAAACATGTCTCATTCTACTTATTTCATCTCTCACTGCTTTATAATTCAGGAGCTGAGTAGCATTCTTTGTTATCAGCCCTCCCTAATTATGACTGATCATTTCATTGATCAATGCTCTTAAGTCTTTCAAAGCTATTTCTCTTTATATTGTTATCCTCCTGATATATTGTTCATTTCACTC